TAAAAGCTTCTATTTAATAAATACATACTGTTCATTGAATTATCGTTGGGCAGTCTACTTAGAGAAAAAAATGCTTATGTGGGTCAAGGCAGTACAAAGCCATTCGCTGTGCCCATGTGCAGCCCTGAGGAGCCAGGACTGCACTGTCACACTAAGTTATTTTACAACAAATTGTTACCATTTATTTAATTTTTATGTCTCAAAATACTGAGCATATTTTTATAGCATCATACACTCAAGGACCAACATTATCAAAGATTAAGGTTCATGGCAGTGAGTGACTCTCAATATTGTAAAGCAAATATCCCTGCGGCTCACAACATTTATCAAATTATCACTTCAGTTAAGTGCTGTCTTTGTAGAATGAATGTTTCTCAAATTCTTTTTCTAACTACCACCACCTCCCAGGTGGAGACGCATCTGCCACTTTCAAGATCTTAGAAACACTTGTTGAAAAGACCCCTCGGGGGTTTGTAACACCAGTGGGACTCTTTAGTATCCCAAGGAAGTACACACCAACGTTTCTGTGGAGCAAGGATAGTTTGATGACTTTCCAAACTAATTCAAACAGACTCAGTGTGAACCTGATTGCTGAAAACGAAGGCTCATTGGGAAGATCGCATCTGAGAGCGCTACAAGCGCCAGCTACCCCAAAACGTGCCTGTTCAGAGCAACACCATTTACCCTTAGGGGAGAAAACAGTCACTCTTCACATAAAACAAGCCACTCCGGGCAGCCTAACTCCAGCGGACACCGGACACCGGACACCAGGCCACAGACCCAAGAAAAGCAACAGAAGCATCCTCCCTCCCGTTGCGTTGCCACCCCAGGGGCTCCCCCACAATCATTCTCTCTCTGCAGACTGAGCGTGTCTGACACCCCATTAGGGACAGAACTGGAGCGCAGTTACCCCTTTTCAGATGTACGCGAACCCGCACGAGCCACCCTCTGAAAACTACCTCTTGAGTTTTGACAAAAGAAATAAATAGACACAAAAGCCAGATGGCGCGGGGCAGGGCGCTCACCTTCCATGCCGCGGCCGCTCGGCTCCACGTGCTCTGCCGTCGCGGGCGGGCGGGCCGGCGTTGGGCGCGCAGCTGGCGGGAGAGTCCCGGCGCGGGGAGTCCCGGGGTCGGCGTCGG